TGGTGCCCCCTTATATTAGGGCACGCCCTGTCCCCTTTCTTGCTTGTCCTGACTCCTCTTTGAAGCTCCTTTGGCCAAGGAAAAAGCTCTTTCCCCCCATCCAGGGGCCTTTTTCTTCCCTTCCCTTTTTTTCCTGTGTTACAAGTTTACTCTGACCTTCCAGTCGGCCTGCCACAAGGAGAAACTCCTCACACTGCAGGACCGTGGGAAGAGCCCCCTACTTCTCTCTCCCCTCCATAAAGTGATTAATCTGATCCAGGAGCATTACTGTGAAATTGAGCATTGCCTCCATCAAGTGTGAACCAGTCAGCTGTCCAGAACCTTCCCCTATGTCAAATCTGACACTTAACAGAGCCAAATATTTTGTTCTTGGTGGTGAAACTAGTGTAAGTACAATGCTTTTCACATGGACCACGGGGAGATTTTCTGGGTAACAGAGGCCTACCAGTATTTTCTTTTAAAGACACATTGTGATACGCTCACACTAAAACCTTGTGAATAGATTCATCCCTCTTATTATTCAAAGAGGTGTCTCTCAGTTCTGTGGTCTCTTGGGAATATTTTGTGGCCTCTTTGGTCATTGTCGATTAGCTGGGCAGAGGCTCCGAGTGGCCCACTGTGCTGAATGGGACTCATAATTAATTTCAGGGGGTAAGGATGCTCCCTCTGCAGTGAACAGCCTGGGTGAGGCCACTTGATTGTAGCCATAACATTCCTAGGACTTATCTCCTAGGAAGGGGAAAAAAATCCCAAAAGCTACTTTTAAAGAATTAATAGACTTTATTTTTTAGAGCCATTTTAGGGGTTACAGAAAAATGTGCTGAAACTGTTGAGTTCCCACATACCTTCCCATCCCCCCTTCCACATTGTTTTCCCTGTTAATGTCTTGTTAATAGCGCAGGACATTTGTTAGGATTGATGAACCGATACTGATACATCATTAGTGACTAAGGTCCACAGTTTACATTAGGGCTCACTCTGTGGTCTGTAGTTCTGTGGGTTTTGACAAATGTATGATGTCAGTATCATAAAGAATGATTTCACCACCTATATGAAAAAAATATGCCCCACCTATTCACCCCCCTCCTCCTCCTTCAGGCAGTCAGGGATCTTGTTACTGTCTCCAGAGTTTTGTCTTTTCCAGAGGATCTATGGTTGGAAACACACAGTGTGTACCCTTTTCACACCAGCTTCTTTCACTCAGAAACATGCATTTGGGGCACCTGGGTGGCTCAGTCTGTCAAGCGTCTGCCTTTGGCTCAGGTCATGATCCCAGGGTCCTGGGATCGAGTCCCGCATCGGGCTCCCTGCTCATCGGGGAGCCTGCTTTTCCCTCTCCCCTTGCTCCTCCCTCCCTGCTCATGCTCTCTCTCTCTCTGTCAAATAAATAAATAAAATAAAATAAAAAAAACAACCATGCATTTGGCTTCCTCCTTGGCTTTTCATGATTTGATAGCTCATTTCTTCTCATTGCTGAAGAATATTCCATTGTCTGGGTGGACCACCGTTTGTTTATCCGTTCACCTACTGGACAGGTTGGTTGCTTCCAAGTTTTGGCAATTATGAATAAAGCTGCTAGGAACACTTATGTCCACACATTTTTGACTCTTTTGAGCAAATACCTAGGCAAAAAAGACTTCTAAAAATATGATTTTAAAGCCTTTTTTCCTAACGAGTCAGAAGGAAAATGTTGTCCCCCTCCTTCTAGATATCTTTCGAAAGACAAGGCAGGAGGTAGAACTAGATGAAGCCAAAAGCGGTCAAATGTTCCTTTAATTTGGGTGGATTGGGTTCGCTCATCTCCTGGACAGAGACTAATGGAGCTCACCTTTAACTAGTCATGGAATCTTTAGGCAGTTAGATTGGTTATTGTTGAAATCTTTTAGACACATTGACAAATGGGTCATATAGGGGCAAACAACCGGTGAACAGGTTTGTTCTGAGCATTTGCCTTGGGGGCTGGAGTAGGTTACTATGGGATGCGGTAGGTAAAAATGAAAACCTATTTCATTTTTTTCATTTTGCCTAATAATTACATTTTATACTCCCTCCCCTGGTTTTATGACATTTTCCCGATTTCCCAAAAGTGGGCATTTTTTTTTTCTTTTTCATTTTTTCTTATTTTTAGTCTCCCATTTATATCATTCTTCTAATCATTGTGGTTGTTCTCTAGGCTTTTATGGTCCCAAAATTATCCAGCTTAGCTTTATAATTTTTGGCAATTGCTTTCTTATACCCCACCTCTTTAAATTGTTTTTCTCCATAGTGTATGTTCTGAACCAAATTTCTCCTTCAGTGCCTTAGTGTGGCTTCCATTCTTTCCAGGGAAGGAGGTTTAATTTCGCTAGAAACAAACTGTGGCCTTCCTTTAGATTTAAATAGCACTGCTGCTTTATAATCAGTTTTCACAGGATAACAGTTTGGGCTGTTGCTGGCCCACTGTTTTGTGTGCGCATGCAGGTTTTTTGGAATTACCGTATATGCTTGAATATAAGGTCAAATTAGAGCATGTCCTGATTCTCCTCCAAAAAGAGGAAGTGTCTCACCTGGACTCACTTATGACTCAGGGAGCTCAAGAAACCTCCCAAGGAAATGGATAGAAAGGGAGGCTGGGATGTTTTACATGGCTTTAATAATAACTTCTAGCGATATGACCTCACCATTGTGAGGGTTTGGGAGACAACTCTAAAAACAATTCACTGAGTGGTTAATTTATAGAGATTTTAAATGGGCGCTTATTATTTACATGGCTTGTGATAAGATTACCAGCAAGCGATTTAAAAAGTGCTTTGTGACAAACATCCAGTCAACTTTAAGATCATGCTACTCTGGTAATACGGCACGAAGACTGTCAGCCTCCTCCTGGCTGTGGCAAGTTTCAGTGACACTGTTTCATGAACTGTGAGGGTGTGGGAATAATGTTATGGCATATGCTCTTAAACACGGTAGTGCAGCTTTGTAGATAGTCGTTTGATAATTCCATTGCATTTTAAAAATGTATATACTTTTGTTTTCCAAAAAGCCTTTACTGAGGGACAGAGTTTTCCCATTGGAAAAATGAGGAGAAGATTATTGTATATTTGGGGTCATCCTGTATTTGGACATACATGATACCCTTTAAAGGCTGACATAGTTTTTATATAGTCTGTGTATTGTTTCAGCTGGATCCAAGTGAAAGGATCCAATTCTTCCTCCCACCTCCCAGTTGGTGGGTGCATGTAGATTGGGGGATATCTATATTCCCTAGCTGCAAGTTTCAACTCAGACCTCCTTGCTCATCCAAGTGTCCAGCCCTAACGCTACCAGCCACCTTCCAATTTTGAAAGATACTGGATGCTTTTTAGAGCTCACCTTTTTCTGCACTTGACTTCTTCCTATCTTGAAATGCTTCCCAATGCTTCCCTTCCTTGTTCCTGGGACAGCAGTGTCCCCAACTTCCCTCCTCTCCCCCACATTCTCTCCCTGGGCAATCTCATGTCCTTTCCAGACTCAGCTTCCCGTCCCCGCCATACTGAGGTTGAAAATTGGTAGTTTGCAGGCCATGTCTTGCCGGCAAGGTTGCCCCATGCAGCGTGGTTGTTACTGTTTTGAAATGTGAACTTGTTGCCAGCATTTAAAAATTGGGATAAAATCCAGATTTCTAGTTCCTCTTGGAGAAGAGGATGAGCTGGTATGGCTGGGACCGAGCTGTGAGCATCTGTCTCCGTGAAATGGGACACTGCTCTCCGTTTACTAAAAGCCTTAGCAACTGCTCCCTTTTGTCTCACGACTTTGATGTAGTGTTGTTTGCTTATCATGATTACACTATTCTGTTCTCTTCAGTAGAGATATGAGGAAAAAGGATTTCTTTTGCCCATGCCTCTGTTCAAAAGTGGGAAAAATAAAAAAACTGGACCAAAAATGCCATGTGTTTCAAAACCGTGGAAGGGAACATGGTGTGTGTGTGTGTGTGTTTGTAAGAGAAGAATGTTCTTATAGATCTAATACTCAAGATGTGTCTGAGTTGACAGCTTAAAGATGCTTATCCTGTAATCATCAACTTAGATGGTTTTGATGACCAAATGAATACTTTAGCCCATGTTTTTTTCTTCTGAAATCCAGAACAATCTCTTTGGTAATGTAGATTCATTTGTATTTACTGAGTACCTGGGATGTGCAAAGGTCCTGGGGGTGCAGTGGTAAGCAGGGCCGCCATGTTTCCTGCCGGCTAGGAGCTTACAGTCGGCTCGCACAGATCCTACAGGCACCCCACATTCAGCATGAGCCTGAGTACAGTTCTCCCTTCCACTCTTCAAGTCCCCTCAGTGTCAATGATCAGAGTCACCCACAGATTGATTAACAATCTTCATTCCATCTGCAAACTTAATTCCTTTTGGGTATGTAATGTTAACATTCACTTGGTTGTAATACCAGGCATTAGGAGCCAACATCTTTGGAGTCTGTTTTTCTGCCCACCATGATATCTGCTTGCTTAAATGGATGATCATCTGCCAATTTGTGGATGACACTCGGGCTCCATGCATGGAGTTTGAAGGACTGATACATTATGTTAGCTTTCATTTTTTTTTTTTTGGCTGCTTCCTCGAGTCGGTTCCTCCCCCCGGCTGGTGTTGCTCACCAGCTCACATACACGTGGCCGCATTTGTATTTCCCCACCTGTTTGGGCAGCGCCTGTCTTGAATGATTCTTCCATTCTCTCCCAACCCCATTTATTTAAATTCCAACTTTCAGCTTTGATCCTGCTCCTTCCGGAAACTTCTCATGATGTGTTCTGCCCTCAATGCTCTCTGCGTTTCTGAAATCCTTTGGCTTTTTCAGTCTGCAGCAATTAATTGTATCATATTTATAAATATTTACTTATTGATTGTGGAGTTTTGACAGGAAGTTTTTTGGGTTGGTTCAAAGTAGCTCTCAAACAGTTTGTTTGCCTTCAGAAGCAAAATGTCATTCCACGATTTCAAATGCCTATCTGAAATATTCTGTGGTTTTGTTTATTTCAGGGACTTGAAGATAGAAAATTTGCTACTAGATGAAGACAATAATATCAAGCTGATTGGTATGACTTTTTTTTTTTTAAGCAAGATTATCCTTTAAGTGTTGTGTTGTCAATTCTCAGTTATTTATTGCTGGATTATTGACTTTGAAAATTATTCATGGTCTATTTCTAATCCCAGACAATACTCTAGGCCACCTCCTTTTACCTCCAATATTTAATAGTGGTTTTGAAAATGAAAATTAATTTTAATAATAAACATAATTAGGAAGGTAGAAATACTATAAAGTGACCATAAAATTAATTTCACAGCTATAAATAAGTATTGGTTGGTTATGTGTTTGTGGATTATTCAAACTTTAGCTTTGCATAAACTCAAGTGGATCCGAATTTTTATAGGTGTTATTTTTATTTTGGTTAACCATAAAACTTCTTAAAAATAGTGGAAAATAGTTTAGTTCAAAAGTCCTACTCTTAGCTTAGCCATGGTTTAATTCCCTTTCCATGAATATCAGAGCGCTGAAGTCAAAGGGAACCCGACTAACCTTCCGTTTTTCTTATAATCTTTATCGAAGCCCCATCGTACAATTGTGCAGAGAGAAATCCCCACAGAGGGATAATTTAGAAGGAAGGTAATCAGAAGGAAGTTCCAGGATAGAGTGAGTCATAATTGGTTCATAATTCAGGGTCCATAAGCGAGTTCACTCCATGACTCATTTTCTAGAAGAATTCCTTTTTGTTTGCCTGTATGATTGCTCTTGGCAGAAGTCTCATGGCATCATTTTTACGCCCAGGTGTGAGCACCATCATTGGTTCCTCTCTTTTCTTTCTTTTTCCCACCTCAGGTGCAAGTGATTTTTTCCATCTCAATGGCTTGAAAAAGGCTTTCTATTAGGAGAAAAGAGAAGGATCAATAGAACGTTGTGAATTTAACTCTTGTACCCGAGAAGGAAATTTTGTTTGGCAACTACTAAAAACCATCTCTAGACTCTCTGAAACATGTCATTTGAATAACCAATTAGATTCTCTGGCTCCCAAAACCGGACTCCTTGGCTGGCTGAATAAGCACCGCCAACAGGTGTTAATGAATGAACATACCGATCCTTAGAAAACTAACAAGAGGAAACCTTTTTTTTTTTTTTTAATTTCCCTCAAAAGATTTTAAAGATCAGATGCTTTAAAATGGACAATTCAAAGAATTTTCTTTTTATCCTGTCGTTTCACTATCGTGTTTCAGTTGTCCCAAGGGCCAAATACAGAAGCATAAAACATGACAGACATTGAAATGCCCTTAGGATGTCTTACTGGTCCTGGTTTCCGGGATCTGTGTCATTAAACAAAGGCCCGTCCTGGTGGGGGGGCGAGGAATGGAGGAAAGAAGATTGTTGAGGTTCTCTGGCAGGCTGACCTGTAACTTGTCTTCAGAAAATGTGGAGGTGACAGAGACAGGGTTGCCCTAATGGCAACAGATTGTAAGAAAACAGGCCACGTGAAGGCCGGATGTCCGTTATAGTAAAAGTTAAAATAATTCAATTATTTGAATTAATTCCCCTGTGCACCGTCCAGACCGAGGCTGAAGCAGGTCACCAGGACATGGTTTCCATCTCCTAACCTGGTGCTGCTCCTATTGCCCCTTTCCTTCCCTCTTGCCTCCTTTCCCCTCAGGCCTTGCTCTCTCTTTCTTCCCAAGCGATAGCCCTAGACGATCATGTACGACACTAGAAACGTACTGTGGAATGAACAGTGTTGAAAAGCACAGCTCTTTGCATTGGTTAGAAGTGTGCTCAGAAGATTCTGGGAGAACCAATCTCTGTAAACAGTGGATGCGTTTCTAAGTAGCTCACAGATTGGCCGCCTGACAATCCCTCTTAGAGAGGTCCCGTGCCAATAAGAGGAAGTCATGCTCTCCGTATGTGAGAGCCCATGGTTCCCCTTGAGGAGAGCGGGATGGTGGCTCTTTGGATTCACATGCCTCAGAGTCTCCTCCGCTCAACATAGCGGCCACTGGATTGGCACCCAAGCCCGGGACACCAAGTGGGTTCTGTCAGAAATGAGGTATTAGAGACCACAGTTTCCAAGACTGCTGGCAAGGAGGCTCTGATCATTGGATTTCCCGTTCTTTGAACTTTTTATGTGGCTCCCAGTTCCCTCATGACCAGCATAAACCAAAAGGCCTACCTCACACCTGAAATCCAAAGAGACATTATAGTACCAGATAGGCCAACTGGGAATTGCCTTGTGTTTACCAATATCCGATTTTCCCCATTTTTTCCAGTGGGTCAATCACGAAGCTAGTGGTGGGCGCTGGAGGGAGGGAAGACCCAGGGTCTTGCGCGTTTTCTTGCCCCTGGGTCGGGCCATTTGGATCCAATGTTTCTATGACTGTCTTTTTGCAACTTGAAAGCTCTTTGAACCTTTTCTTCAAAGGAGTTACCTAGTTATTTTTCAAAGATGGATTATAGCTATTTCCATTTCCTCCTATAATAGTTTTCCTTCTTTGGAATAATTTGATTTAAGTGAATTTATTTAAGCCCGATCCGCCATGTTTCAAATAAACTAGAGCTAACTGGGAATAAGATCTGATTTAATCAAGATTTTTTTTTCCCCCCTTTCAGAAAAAGCGGTCTGATGTTTGATCGTTTAGAACAGTTTTGTACTTCAGTTTCCCACAGCAGCGTTCCCTGGGGCATTTTGTGAGATTCATTTTGCGGCTCTCTGAGGATAGTGGGCTTCTCTATTTACCAGATCTAATTGGGGCAGACCTGGGAGACACCCCGGGAAGCGGACTTCTCTCTAGTTTCACCGTTCTAATTATAGGCACGTGTGCAAAATTTTAATAATTACCCTTATGGGTGTGAAAAGGACCGGTTATTCCTCTACAGTATATTTTAAATGAAGCCCTTCTGGCGAGGTCGACATTAAGTCATTTAAAGTGCAGATCTTCTCTCCTCCCTCACCAGATCAGCTGCTAATTTAACTTCTTGAAACTGTGCTTGAGACAAGGCAAGGCATTGTGTTCTCCAGCTTGCCTGGAAGCAGGGAGGGGCGGGGCGGGTGGGCGTGGCAGGAGAGAGGGTGGGGGGTGCCCTCTTGGTGTCCAGCAGTTCTTAACAGACCCCAGTCCAGGAGTGGAGGGAGCGACCTGAAGGAGGCAGTCCTTTGCTGTGAATGGCACCCCGCTGAGATTAGACACAGAGTCTTTATTCAATGTCAGAAATCTAGAGAGAAACTTTACGGGACTCCTAGGAGATCAGGCCTCTAAAGTGACTGCGAAACTTCCCTTAAAATGTTGCCCCCCAAACAATGTAATCTTTATTCCATGGTGCTCTTTATGCATTTGTTGTTTTATTAAAATTCCTTTAGGATGATTTGCAGACCCAAAACACTTAAGCAACCATCCAATTTCAAGCACGCTATGATTTTTCCTCTTACAAAAATATTTGCCCTCCCCCCTTTTTTCCTGTGTCAGCAATACCACAGGGGTCTGAGAGGTCTGAGAACAGGGGCCCTCAGATACTTTGGCACAGAGATCTCCTCTTAAGATGGGAAGCCGGGGGCCCTGTGGCTCCTGTAGGGACCTTCTTAGGCAGGTTATGTGGGCACCTACTAGTGGGGACTGGGGGAGGGAAGGGTGGAGGGGGGAAGGAAACAGGGGCTGGGTGGGGGGGGAAGAGTAGGGAGCAAAGGGAAGTTACGAGAAAAAAAACATGGAATCATAAAAAAACAAAAGCAAAGGAAGAGTTACATGTGTCCACATGCAGCATCCCCCGGTGGTTTGCCAATCCCTAGGGTAGGTTCTGGTTCTCCATCTCCAAGCCCAGTGCCTTGACGAGTTTTTGGAGCTCTGTCTTGGGGAGGGGGCTCTGTTTGGGAAAGCTCCTTCATGACACAGTCTCAGCCAGCGACTGTGGGGAGAATTTCTAGTGGTGCATCTTGACCCGTGGTGTGAGTCACTTGATGGACTTAGAGTCACTTCACGCCCCATCCTGTGTTTTTCTGTTCCTGAGCTTTCCTGAGCGGTTATAGCAGTCAGGCGCTTGCAAGTGGAGGCACATTAGTCAAGGAGAAAACACAGTAATGAAAGCAGGTATAAATCCTACCGGTTGAGAAAGGACAAGGGTTTTGTTCAAGACATGGAGCCAGTCTCTGGCCACTGAGCCCTGGGGGCAGAGTCTCCTGTTCGGGGGACGAGAACCATAATACTCACGTTGAAGTTCAAAGGAGAAGCGATGATCTGAATTCTGGGGTCAGCAAAGATTGAGGAAAGATATCAGATGGGGACAGAACGCTGACAACTCTGATTACCTGTCAGTTGCAGTATCCTGAGGATCAAAAAGGTAAACACAAAAGAAGAGGTGTACTATACCCAGCGAGCTTTGGATGTGTCGGGCTCTTCTTTGCTTTTCCCATTTGCCTTCATCATCCGAGAACAAGGCAACACTAGGAGGTCGCTTAGTCCAGTTCTCATTGCTGTCTTCCTGATGTTAGAGTTCCAGCCAACATTCAGCGTTGTCTAAATGGTCGGGGGTATAGTTTTCCCTCTTCCAATCCCCACACATCGCTACACGCACCGGGAGCATTTTTAAAAGACTTGCGTGAAATTAAAACACTGAGCTGGAAAATGTCAAGTCTACATGGGGGGATCGCATGTCACCCGGGGTGACGCTGACCCCAGCCAGAGGAAACGGATCTTCCATCAGTGTTTCCCCACATGACCCCTTGGAAGCCAGATTGCTGACTCCGAGGCCTCTGCTCGTTCTCTCTTCCTGCCTTTAGTCCTAGAAAGCGAAGCCTCTCTTTTTCCTGGATGACTCATTTGCAAGGTTTGATGAAAATATGTTTTGGTTCAACATACTTTTAGCTCTAGCTGGATTTTACAGTGAGGACTGATATAAAATGTTTCCAGGCTTGAGACCCTGTATCCAGAGGTTATGGTCTGCAGCTGCTTGGTGCTCCTTTGGGATGCTAAATGATGTGTCAACCCGAGAGAACGTTTCCTTTCCTGCTGCCGTCTGGTTGTTGGTTTTTTGTTGTTGTTTTTTTTCCTTCTTCTGTTTCACAGTTTTCTAATTCGGAGCCGGTTTTGTCTTCCCCTGTTTGCAGACTTTGGCTTGAGCAACTGTGCGGGGATCCTGGGCCACTCCGACCCGTTCAGCACACAGTGTGGCAGCCCGGCCTACGCCGCACCTGAACTTCTCGCCAGGAAGAAATATGGCCCCAAAATCGATGTCTGGTCCATGTGAGTGATGGAGCTTATAAAAGGGAACTGTTGTGTCCGCTCTCCCTCTCTTATGAAATAACTTTTGAGTATTTGATGACAGGCGTGTTGTATTACCGTAGGCTCTGGGATAGATATCCGGTGATTCTTTGGGGCCCGGCTTTCCACCTCTGTTCCTTCTGGTCGGTTCTCCACAGACCACCAGAGAGGCTTTTGCCAAAATGCCTTCCGTTGCTGGGGAGACAAGAAAACAAAGTCCTGAGCTCACGGAACTCACGTTCTGGTTTCACGAGTCACTCCTGTGGTTCCCCTGCTTAAAATCGTCCCGCAGCTTTCCTTTGTTCCAGAAGAAAGCCGCATGTGTCTCGTACCCCACCCTCTGCTCTTGATTCCTCAGGCACGTTGGCCTCTGTTTCATCTTTCCCACCTCTGGGCTTTGCACCTGCTCTTTCCTGGGTCTGGAATGCCATCTCCCGGTTCTTCAGGTGGCCTGTCCACTCCCACATTCCAGTTTTAATCCAGTGCTCCCCCTGCAGAATGCATCACTGAGTTCCCTGTCAGAAAGGCCCTCACGATTCTGTCTCCTCACCCTTGCAAATCCCTCACTAGGACCCATGGCGGCCTGGCATTTTATGGCTTGTGAATCCATTTAGTGTGTGTCTCCCTAGTTGGGAAGGATGCTGCGGGAGGATGGGGACCTTATGGGTCTGCTTCACCAGTGTCCCGCACAGGGTGGGCCGCCAGTCACCACTGAAGGGGTGAGTCAGGGGTCGCTGCAGTGTTCCTGAGTCCGGGTCCCCATGGTCTCCACACCGAGTAAGTCCCTCAGCATCAGGTGTGAATGGTACGGGGAGCCGTGCAGGGTCCTGGATTCTGGGGTAGGGACTAAGTTCCTCACCAAGGGGAAGTGGGCTGTAGACAGAGAGTGGGCTCCTGATTAAGATGGAATTTGGCGATGAGGACGGCTCATTTGAGCCCAGGATGTGTTGATCCGGTACATTTCTGGAATTCCCCTACTTCTCTCCCTTCTCGCTACATATCCCTTGTCCAGATTGGAGAAAAGCTAACATTTGCCGCATGCTTGGTGTATGGCATGCACCATGGCACTTAATTTTCACGGTAACCCAGTGAAACTTGTACTCTCTGGTACCACCATTTTATGGGAGAAGAAACCCATCGCAAGAGACGTTAAGAAAATTTCTTAAGGTCGCGGGGCTACTCACTGGTGGAGCTGGGGTTTGAACCAGGCAGACTCCAGGGTCTCAAGATAAAGGACTGAATCCTGAGCCTGGCCCCATTGCCTCGTGGGAAGCCATTCTCCACATCCGTTCTCTAGCGGGCTCCATGTTGTTTCCTATCCCTTGCATGTGCTGTTCCCTCACCCAGGGATTCTTGTCCCTGGTCCCGTACACCTTCTCTTTCCCTCTTCTTTTCTGGGATTCCGCTTCCCCCTGGGCAACCCTCTGTGCCTCCTACAGGCTGACTTGGAGCCTCTGGTGTCTCATCTGTTTCCTGCGCCCTGCTCCGCGGGCTCTCGCGCCATGGTCACGGCTCCCCTGCCCGAAGCCCTGCTCTGCAGGCCAATGGGGCAGGACAGTGGGCACGGAGCCGGGGCTAGAGAGAGGAGGGAGGGGAGGGAGGGACAGAAGCTGTAGGGTCAGGGGCTACCATTGGCAGAGGGAGCAAGCAGAGCCAGGGGGCCCCGAGGGAGGGTCTAGAAAGGAAGGGAGCTCAGGAGGTTCCAGTGGGAGGTGAGGGGAACTGGAGCCCAGCATGAGATGCTGAGGACAAGGGAATTCCCGGGACTTGGGCGCAGCTGGTCACAGGTTAGTGGGGAGTCAGCTTCCGTTCCTGGGAGGGCTGAGTGCTCTGCGTTAATTATCCCCTTTGATCCGCAGGACAGCCAGTGAGGCTCTCTCGTGCCCATTTTACAGAGTAAGTGGTGGAGATACACTTTGCACTCACGGCTCTTCAGCCAAAAGCCTGAGCTCCCAGTGACTTTCCTGACCCCTCAAGAGGAGGTGTGGTTAGCGCTGTAGCTGGAGTGCTTATGGCCCCCAGGGGGGAGGGTGCTGGGGGGCCGCCAGAGTGAGTGGGAGTGGTAGCAGGAAGCCCGGCAGAGGAAGCCTTCTCATCGAGGTTCCCTGGGTTGTTTGGCCGGCATTGCTGATTCACAGGCTCTTTATTCTGGGCCCAGAAGGGCCTCAGAATCCTTCTTAACACAGCCCTCAAAAAGCACTGCCAATGGATCAGAGTCGATACTTGAGGTGAAATACATTCTTGGTCCCTTTCAATGCTTAAGAATTCTCACACATGTCTGGCACATGTAAATATTTATTGAGGGATGAATATAAATGTTAGAGTCTATAATCACCTTCTCTCCTTAACAGTTAGGGAACTCACTTATGCTAAATGGAGAGCTATACAAGGGACCATTTGTGCACCAAAAAATAAATAAAAATAAATAAATAAATAAATAAATAAATAAATAAAAAGGCTATGGAGCATAGAGAGCCTGAAAAGCCAAGAGGTTCAGAAGCGTGATGTAACTGGTGGGGTGGGAGGCGTAATGACCACGGGGAAGAGAAGCCAGCAGCTGGAGAGCAGGTGACAGTATCCTCCTCGGGCCCTGCTCTCCCAGGGACCGAAGGATAAGTGTCATCACGAGTTGTCATGGTGACAAGGCTCAGCCTATGAAGGGGGACCTTTCCACTCCATGGCTGCCAACACAGGCAGCTCCTTACCGCCTAGAAATGTTGGTAGAAGGGAAGAGCCTTGTGGACTGTCAGAGCTGCGGGGGAACTCCTGGGCATGTTTCACCTGCGTGGAACCTCTCTCTCATCCCCTCGTGCTGACTGTAGGATGGGAAGAAATCATTTCTCCTGTTTGGGGAAATCCAAGGGGAAATGGAAAGCACCAGCCGCAAAAGGCAGTACCGTCTGAGGGTCAGGTGTACGCTCACACTTTGTCCCTGGCCCTCCTGCCAAGCCCCTGGGTTTGGGAAAGAAATCCACAGTTAGGGACCCCAGGTGCTCTATTTCTCAGTTTTGGGGACCCCATGATTCAAATAAAGGGGCCTGGTCTCCTGCCGCCTGTTGTGTCCCCACGCGTCAGCCAGAAGCAGTGGCTCTACCCGGAAGGTGGCTTCAGAGGAGGGAAGGTGGAGGGGAGCTGCGGGAGGGAAGGGGGTGACCCAGAACCCTCGCTTCCCTCCTCCACCCCGGCTTCTGCCGCCGCTGGGCCCTCTGGAGATGCTGGACGTTTCTTCGCTCACCTCCCACTTAGTTGCCTTTTTTCCCCCCAAGAAGGTGATATGCAGCTTCGGGTTTTCTGAAAAGCTCTCGTCAGGCCTCATTCTTAGTCCTGGTGTCAGAGAGTAATGGATGGGTAAGTCTTTGACAAATGGTAACACACCATACACACCTTGGTCTTTTCAGTTGATTGTGGCATTGCTCCGGAGGCTGATGGGGGATCTCTAGGTAGACCAGAAACTCTGTGTGCTAGTGCCCCGTGGTGGGGCATTGTGGTAGAGATTCTCACCCTGTTTAGCCACGAAGGACCCTGTTTTATTCTAATAAATGAAGTTTCCCTGGAGCAAGATTGGTTAGCTGACCCTGGAACATTCTCTAGGGGATGAGGCCACAGGACCCATGCCTAATTCACAGGGATGGCATCGATTGGGCCCCTTTTAGAAGCTGCTATTGATAAAGCTTAAAAAGCAAAAAGAGGCCACGTGAGGAACAGATAGCTTACGAGCAGTTTGTTCATTCGGCAGATACGTGTTGAGCCAGGCGCTGTGCCGAGTTCTGAGTGCACAGCGGGGAGTCAGATAGCCAGGCAGCCTTGGTCGATCCTTGGTTCCACAGAGATTGTTATTAACGCTCACATACCTCGGACTGAGTGACAGGCAGTGTTCCAGGGGCTTGGCAAGTATTAACTCATCTTGTCTGCCTAACAACCCTTCAAGGGAGTGCTCTGTGATCCCACTTTACAGATAAGGAAACTGAGGCCCTGAGAGTCTTGGGCCCTCACCCAAGTGGCACTGATAGGGTGTATAGAGCTAGGATTTGACCAAGCTGGCTCGACTCTAGAGTTTGTCTTAAATCGTCACTCTTTACTGCTTCTACTTCTACTATGTTGTGCTTCCTCTCCTGGGATTTCCATTCTAGTGGGGCAGACGGTTTTTAAACAAGCTGTAAGCTGGGTGTGGTAACGGCTCTGGAGGAAATGGGTGGGATGCAGGGAATGAGGATGGGGGGTGGCCTCCAGAGGAGGAAACCTCAAAGCCAAACCCTTAGGATGAGTAGGCTCCCCAACTCTGGGGAGAGGGAGGTGTCAGGAAGGAAGGCCTGAGACACAGGGAACAGGCTGTGGCAAGACTGGGGTGGGGGTGGGGTGGGGTGGGGAGGTGTGGGAAGGGGTTTGGGTTTCACCCTAAAGGTTATGAGAAGCCACTGGAAAATTCTAAGCAGATGGGTAACAACATGTTACGGATTGAATTGGGTTCTCCTCCCGAATGATATGCCGGAGTCCTAACCTCCAGTGTCTCAGAATGTGATGTTATTTGGAGAGAAGGTCTTTACAGGGGTACCCCAGTGCAAACGAGGCCATAAAATCCAGTATGACAGATGTCTTTATAAAGGGGAGAAATTGGGACCCAGAGAGACACAGGGAGAACGCCATGTGGGGCTGAAGGCAGAGCTCTTAGTGCTGTATCTCCGAGGTAAGGAACACCAGATTGCCACAAACCACCAGCAGCTCTGGGAGCAGCATGGAACAGGTTCTCCCTCCCAGCCCTCAGGAAGAACCAACCCTGCTGACTCTCTCGGCTTTGACTTCGAGCCTCCAGAACTGTGAGAAAATCAATTTCTGTTGTTTAAGCGCTGGAATCTCGGGAAAGGCCAAAAGTAAACTGATGAGTAAAAACTCTCCACTCCAGATCCCAAGAGCCATTCTCCTTCCCAGGAAGTACGAAGTATGAAGTGATACCTGTCCTGAATCAAGTTCACTAACAGACGAAT